AAGCAATACACCAAGCAATATATCAAGCAACAGCTCCAGCTCCAGTCTGAGGCTGTAGCTGCTGAGGCTGTAGCAGCTGTAGCTTTAGCTGTAGCTTCAGATGATACTACGCGTAAAATAACAATTGAACTTTCGTTAATTAAGGGTTTCGGAATGTTAATTTAACGTTCTGAATGTTAGCGGTAACATTCCGAGTGTTAGTGTTAACATTCCATACATTAGCGTAGTAGGCCTACGTAGGATCTCTACTAGCCCCGCTGGGGGACAGGCTGGCAGGCCAGCAGCTGCAGATCCAGCTGCTCAGCAAGGAGCAAAATGATCTATTTGGATGGATCCTAGTACAAGCTGTACACAAAAATGGTGTAGAATATCGTGGATCATGGGGGAACCCTTTCCATTTTGCTCAAAATAGAAGGGTTTTGATTCCGCGTTCAAAATTGTACTGAGGTCTACTGTCGTGACCTAAACTTCCCTCTAGCACGCTTTAGAACTGTTCTTTTCACTCAATCAAAATACTCGTTCAAAGCAACTGACCATGGGAATTGCTCCAATTTAAGGACTTCCACTCACTCTTTCTTAATGTACCTGGTATCAATYGATATATCTCTTCCATTGTCAATTGAACATGCCTTGAACTGTAGCAAAGGACCCAGTAGAAGTATTGTTTTAGTCTTGCTGATACGGTGTCCGCTGATACGGAGGATGCTGATACGGACAAGTTGCTGATACGTACTAGGATGCTGATAAGGACGCTGATACAGAGATGATGATACCTACGGAGGCTTGCTGATATGGAGAATGCTGATACGGAGGCTCACTGATAAGGAGGATGATGCTGATACGAGTCACTGATACAAGCCGCTGATACGGAGGCTCGCTGATACGTGTTGCTGATACGGAGGTTCGTTGCTAATGATATGGAGGATGCTGATACGGAGGAGCCGGTGATACGGATGATGCTGATACGGAGACTCGCTGATACAGTGTCCACTGATAGTAGTTGCTGATATGAGTTGCTGATAGGAGTCGCTGATAAGA